TCTTCCTACTCTGTCTTAGTGCGGAAGCGCCACTGAGTCCTGTTCACCATAGTGGACCCTGCTGTCATTTGGAATACCTGTGGCCTTGCCGCCGCAGTGTGACTGACTGAGAGATGAGTGGTGGGTATGTGTAGTACCAGTAAATAAAACCTGCACGGATAATGATGCTTGCCAACTTAAGGACTGCGTTTGCCTCTGGGGAAAGCAGAAAGGGTGTTATTCTCCGTATCATGGGCCTCTTGTGATAACAGATGAGTACACAGCCTGACTGTCCATAATTGGTCACTGTTAATTCTTAGGGGCTCTTGACGTATCTTTTTCTCCCTAAAATTTAAAAGCTGGACTAGATTGTTTGTTGTTTTTTAAATGTTGTGGCTCTGCTCATTTTTAAGTGCTTGTGGGTGCCAGCTTCTGTTCTTGGGGCCAGGGATAGAGCAGTAAACGAGACAGGCAGAGTCTCCACTCTCCTGAAGCTCACAAATGAGAGTGACAAGTCACCAAGTGGAGCAATAACCGTAGTCACGGCTGAGTCTGAGCAGTGTGAAGGTTTGAAGCAGGGCACTGAGGGACCGGGGTGAGAGTGGTCAAGGGCGGCCTCACTGAGGAGCTGAGTGTTGAGCAGAGACCTGCATTTTACGAAGAGCAAGTGCGTGGGGACGCTTTGTGAAAAGCTTTCCAGGCAGAGAGAACGGCCTGCAGCTGGGAAGAAGCAAGAGTGACATATTCAAAAAATTGCACAAAGAATCCAACACTTAGAAATAAACCTAACAAAAAAGCTGCAGACTTACGCTTTGAAAACCAAAACATGTTGGGGAAAGGAAGACAACCTCAATAAAGGGAAAGATATCCCATGTTCATGAATTGGTAAACTTCATGTTGTGAGGATTGCACTAGTCCCTAAAATGATCTACAGATTTAGTGCGGTCCCTGTCAGAATCGCAGCTGACTTCTTGGTAGAAATCAATAAGCCAATCCTAAAAAAAAAACAGCAAGAAAGCCAGTCCAGGCAGCGCCCGGTGAAGGAGGCGGGAAGTGGATGAGGGTGAAGCCGGAGGTTGGCAGAGCTTCTGGGTGGTGAGATTCTGTGGGCCGTGCTGGGGGCTGTGATTACCTCATCCTGCCTCCAGTGGGCAGCCTCAGGAGGGTTTTAAACGGGAATAATAAAATGCAATCAATGTTGTATGCCTACTGCTCTGGTAGCATAGTGCCTAAGGCACTTGACTGTTAACCAGAAGGCTGGCGGTTCAAACCCAGCAGCCACTCCTGGGAAGGAAGATGGGGCAATCTACTTCTGTAGTGATAATGCCTCGGAAACCCAAGGAGGGGTTGCTATGAGTCAGGTTTGACTCAATGGCACATAACAACACGATGACAACTGCAAGCCAAGTGCTAGGACAGGCATGAGTTACAGGGCAGTGAATGTTGACTGACTAGAGGAACTCATGACTATGCTCAGTTAATTTTTGTGCTTGTTGGTGTGTCATTTGTGTTTTATTACTAACATACTTAAATATTTTCTCCAGTAATATGGTAGTATCCATGTTCATATAAAATATTTAGAAGATTCAGACTGGTGGAGAAAATGCCTCCCTTTCAAGATTCTGCCACTTTGAGATAACCACAGTTAACATTTTGTGTTTGATCCTTCTTGCCTTTTGAGTGAACGTGTGATCAGTAAGGAGTGATGACCCACCCAACACTCCAGAAGGAATCCGAAGTGAGGCTGGTGCTCCTCTGATGCCGTGTTGACTGCTTTCAGGTGGAGCGGATGATAATGTTCAACATCAACCCCCTGGAGAACCTGAAGCTGTACATCAGCAGCCGGCCTCCCCTGGTGGTCTTTATGATCAGCGTCAGCGCCATGGCAATCGCCTTCCTGACCCTGGGCTACTTCTTCAAAATCAAGGAGATTAAGTCACCGGAAATGGCAGAGGTATGGAACCGAGTTCTCTGTGTCCTCCTGGAGAAGACGGGCTGGGCCCTGTCGGGTGGGGAAACGCCTGTTGGCTCTCCATGCCCTGTCCTCTGCTTGGGACTCCTCCCAGTGAGGAACGTCAGTATTTATGGGCCATGTCCTCTCTCCATGTCTCTGTGACTCAGTGTGTTAGGAACACAGGCAGGCGAGCCTCGGAGACCACTGCCATAAAGCCAGTGTCGCGACTGGGCGGGTCGCGTGCGTTGTGTGGTTTCTCAGGCATGTAAGGGATAGCCAATTATCAGTGTTTCCACTCTTTCTTTGTAGAACATTCGTTCTACTTAGCCTGTAGCCTGTTAGTGTGCAGTCCCCTCCAAAACCCACTGCTATCTGGCCGATTCTCACTCATGGTGACCCTTGTTTGTTTATTTTAATTTTTGTTGTAATTTGTGTGGAAGTTTACAGAGAAATGAGCAAATTCACTTTCTATACAGCAGCTCACATGCACTTTGTCTCATGACATTGGCTGCAGTTTCCCACAATGCAACAGCTCTCTCCCCTCTTCCTCCCCATAGTCACCTCTTCCCTGTGTCCTTCTGTCCCATGCACTCCTGCCCCCCTGGCTGCAGTTTCCCATAGTGCAATAGCTCTCTTCCCACTCCCTCCCCATAGTCACCTCTTCCCTGTGTCCTTCCATCCCATGCACTCCTGCCCCCCAAGTTGTCTCCCTGTGTATACAAGGCCCTTCTATTCTCCCATGATGGATCTCTCCGAGGAGTGTTACCTACCTGAAGTAAATGTTCAGCTTATATGCCTGTCTTTTGTTTGGCTGGAAGCCATAGGAGTGGGTTCCATTCCAGACCTGATGGGCAGCAGGGGCCATAGTCTCAGGCGTAGTCTCAGAGGTTCCACCAGCCTCTATCAGACCAGCACACCTGGTCCCTTTTTTTCCTTTTTTTTTTTTTTAATGATTTTGAGTTTTGTTCTACTTTGTTCTCTTACTCTATCCAGGATCTCCTACATAGGTCTCCCTCTGAGTGGTTGACAGTGGTAGCTGGGCACCATCTAGTTCTTCTGGTCTCATAGTTGTATAGGCTGAGGATCACATGGTGTACCAGTCCCTTGGACTAATTATTTCTATGCGTCTTTGGTTTTCTTCATTCTTCTTTGCTCTGGATGAGGAGAGACCCATTGTTGCATCTTGATGACTGGTTGCAAGCTTTTAAGATCCCAGTTGCTACTCGCCAAAGTAGGATGTGAAACAATGTTTTGTGTAGTGTGTTGTGTCAGTTGAGCTTGACGTCCCCTGTGATCATGAAACCCTTTTTTTAAGGACAGAGTAGAACTGCCCCATAGGGTCTCACAGATTATAAATCTTTACAGAAGCAGACTGCCTCACCCTTCTTCCACGAGGCAGCTGGCAGGTTTGAACCGGTAAACTTTTGGTTAGCAGCTGAATGCCTTAACCATTGCGCCACTAGAGCTCCTTAAGTGTGCAAGAGCATGATGAGAAGGTTTGAAGTATTGTGAGAATTATCAGAAGGAGCTCTGGTTGCATAGTGCCTAACACATTTGACTGCTAACCAGAAGGTTGGTGGTTCAAACCCACCAACTACTCCTTGGAAGGAAGGTTGGGCAATCTGTTTCCGTAGAGATACTGCCTCGGAAATCCAAGGAGGGGTCGCTGTGAATCAGATCCGACTCAATGGCAGTGGATTTGGGTTTTTTTTGGTTACCAGAATGGGACACAGAAACAGGAAGTGAGCCCGTGCTATCTGGAAAAGTGGCACCAATGGACTGTCAAGGCGGAGTTGCCGCCAACCTTCGGTTTACGAGAAACACAGGATTTGGGAAGCGCAATAAAGTGAGGTGCCGTGAAACAAGCATGCCTGTAGCTGGATAGTTATTTGTTGGTGTAAATAACACTGTCAGTTTAAGTTAAAGGGTTTCAGCAATGAAACATGCATTTTAGAGAGTTTGTGTGTAAAGCATTTTGTGCCGAGAAGCTAGAGAATTCCTGTGATAATGATTTAGCTCATTACAGATGAAGAAAACTAAACATTGATATTGCAAAGCCGCGTGTCGGCACAGGGAGTTATCAGCACTACTTGTGTGTTTCCTGTTGGATAAGAAGGGACCCTAAGGAAATTAGAAAAGAGGAAATTATTTTCATATATATTTGTCTGTTTTATCAAGAGGAACTTCAGTTGTATACAGACTTGCCTGCTAGATGTTTATATTCTGGCCAATTTAAATAAATTATCAGCACATTAATCTTTAATGCTTAATCTAGGCATATAGTACTTTGAACATGTATAAGGCAGATCTTTAAACTAGCTTTGCATATTAAAAAACAATAAAGATTTAATAACTCTTGGTTACTGGGGATGAGTGATGACACACCTATTAATAAATTTATTTCATGTATTAGAAATGATGTTGAATTAATCGATCTCTGGTGGATTTGCTGGGGGAGAAATTTCTTTCAGGACAGGAGTGCTTGTTCTTAGACTTGTCCTTCTTGGCTGTGTTCATTGGTGGGGTGGGGGTCAGGCTGGGGATTGGATTGGGGGCCGTATTGTATGTGCCTTGTGATGGAGTGGGCAGTTCCACTCAGTTGTTCTCTGGCATCCCAGATCTTAGGTAATCTTGGCAGGCTGGATGGCCTTCATAAGTGAAGCCTCTAACGCAGTTAAAGTGACAGAGTTTAGCTGTTTCCACCATCGAACTTTTTCGGAGTTTCTGCTCAGAGACACACTGGCTGGTTTTAGTCTCTGCTTTCCTGACCCGGCCTGATCTCTGAAGGCTGCACCCACAGGCTGCACTCACATGAGGGGTGAAGACACACATTCTCGTCCCAGCCAAAGCTCAGAGTGTCTTGGCATTACTGCCCTGCAGAGTTTGAGCTTGTTGGACACTCGGCCAAGGCCGGTGGTTAAGATGCAGCCTGGATAAGTAGCCCTTACTGATCAAATTGGGGCCTGGCATTTACCTTGGCTGGTTTTTAAAATGAGTTCAATGCCTGAAGGAAAGCAATGCCAAGATGCTGCAAGGCTTTGAGGTTGTGATTAATTTGTTATTGTAATTGTTGTTAGGTGCCGCTGAGATGATTGACTCCTTAGTGGCCCCCTAGGGCAGAGTGGAACTGTGCACCGGGTTTCTTAGGCTGTCATTTTTACGGAGGCAGATTGCCAGCTCCTTAGTCCTGTGGAGCCGCTGGGTGGGTTCAGATCGCCAACTTTATGGTTAGCAGAATGCCTAACCATTGCTGCACCAGGGCGCATTGTGAGTGACTTAGTGGTTTTCTTTTTAGGGGAGAACTCTAGGTGGTGGGAGAGACCGTGAAGCTATTGGGAAATGTTTCCGGCTGTGACTCAGAACATGTAGTCCTGATGGTGCCTTCACTGTGGATTTGGGGAGCTCCTGACTTTCTGTGGACATCACAGAGTGGAATGTTCTCACATGAACAAGAATGCTCGTTTTCAGCCCTGATGTTCTAGAAGGGCCAGCTGCCTTTGTAGGTGCTGGGGGAACGTCATTTGATACGTCCAGTGGCAGTCTGTCTGTCACGCAGTTTCCTGCTGGCTGTGTTCAGGTCGATTTGCTTGAGTGCTCAGGGACTGCTCATCAGGCAGATGGCGTTTTTGATGAATGGTAGTTGGACGTGGGAGTGTATCATTTGGCAACTCTGTCAAGTGGAGCTGCTTGGGATGGGGACGTCACATGGAACAGCCCGGGGTGGACTTGTCGGTGTTCTCTCAGCCTGAGAACGCCTTCGGGAGGAAATGAACTCAACCCTGGGCACGTCAGCAGGGTAGTGCCGGTTTACCCACAACAGAACCAGCTCGTGTGCCAGGAGTGTGCGCCCCGTTTCAGTCATGGCGTAGGTGGTGTGTGTTAAGAGAAGCCTTGGAATAACTCTTCTCCTTCCTTTGGAAGTTGTACCTCCTTTAAGGTGGACTGGAGTCCACGATGAGGGAAAAGGAATGCCCCGTGAGTGTGGGTACTTCTGCTGTTCCCCGTTCTAAACAGAAAGGAAGGGGTCTGGAAGGGGCCTTTTGAGGAATTATTGTAGGGCAGCCTTATTTTTAAAAAAAATAACCCCAACTGTTCAGTGTGTTTGGGTTGATTCTCCTAATGTTTTACTATGCCTCTTCAGGGGTGTAACGTTAGATTCTGAGCCAGGCCATTTTCTGTACTGTGCTGTTTGTAGTTTACATATTTTCTTGCATATGTTGGTTTAATTTCAGCTTATTTAATATCTCACGTCAGTGAAGTGTTCCTGTCTTAGATGACAAATATCTGTGCAAGGGGATGACGGCTGTATTGTCATTGCTCTTTGTAAACACTTGACCATGAGCTCTGGTTCTCCTGTTAGGGTGTGATGCCTCACCGAGACTCAAGGCTGTGTCCCTGCAGTGGGGCACTTGGGGCCACCTCACGAAGACCCGTGGCCATGTCCCTGTGGTGGGTCACTTGTGGGTCACCTCGCTGAGACCCGTGGCTGTGTCCCTGTGCTGGGGGACTTGGGGGCCACCACGCCAAAACCCATGGCTATGTCCCTGCGGTGGGGCCCTTGGGCCTCTCACACCTTGTTCTCTCTGCTGCATTTTACAAAGGACTGGAACACTTTCCTGCTGCGGTTTAATGACTTGGACCTGTGTGTATCAGAGAACGAAACGCTGAAGCACCTCACGAATGACACCACAACCCCGGAAAGCACGCTGACCAGCGGGCAGGCCAGGGTGTCCACCCAGTCTCCCCAGGCCTTGGAGGACTCTGGCCCGGTGAACATCTCTGTGGCCATCACGCTAACCCTGGACCCGCTCAGACCTTTTGGAGGGTACTCTCGCAACGTCACCCACCTGCACTCGACCATCTTGGGGCATCAGATTGGACTGTCAGGTATGTGAGCGAGGCGGCCCCTTCCGGGCTTTGTCCGGCAGCTGTCACGGCAGCGAGTGCTGCTTCCTGGGGTTTTACTTTCTGTGCTGTTTGTAATGTCCACCTGTGTGTCTCCTTTGGTTGAGTTTCAACTACATACTGTCAAGATGGAACCACAATAAAATAACACTTAAAAATAATAGTAATAATTAATAAAACAAGGGAGGCAATATTGCCACTAATAACAACATGGTTGGCACCAAGTAGGCTCTCAATAAAAACATGTAAGAGTGAGAAAGTGAGGCCTTGGTTCTGGCCTTAATATTTACTTAATAAAAACAATTTGTAGTTCAGGTGTTTCCTATTGTGTTTCTAATACTTCCTACAAACTTTGTTGTTGGTCTACAAATGTTTGAAAGCCAGCGTTTGGTCAGCCCTATGCAAGTTGCTGGGAAGAACTAGGAAAAGCTTGAGACCCAGTGCCTTCCCTGTGGGATTTTGGGATTCTCAGAGAGACAAGGATCATGTGAATAGATATTTACCAAGCCCTTAGACTAGTTCCTTTGAATAGTACCCAGGAGGTGCTGTATGTTTGTTAAATCATTAAAAATGAACACCTCTAAGCATTGAGCACCGTCCTTTGACCCCTTCTCAGCCTATGACCAACTGTAAGTGATTTGGGAGAAGGAAAGGAAGCAGCAGAGGCTAGAATAGTCGGAATAGCTTCATGCAGGAGGCCTGGGCCGTTGAGGAGTAACCGTGGGTTCTTTGACTGCCAGGAGCCTTTTAAAGTCCCTGAAGGGACATGGGCCTGTCAGCCTCCCGTTGGCAGGTGAGAGCTGTTCCCATGGTTGTCGAGGTAACGACAACTTGCTGAAAAGTGGACTGTCATCTTCTGTGGAGTTAGGTGGCCTGGGTTTCTGTTTAAGCTCTGTCACTTCCAGAGTTTGAGGGCCTTCTTAAGCTTAAACCCTCGGACCCTCAGAAGGGAGCCGGGATGCGTTGGACGTGTGCAGGGCACAGTGGTGGATTTTTTTTTTTTTTTTTATTGTGATTTGGGTGAAAGTTTACAGAGCAAACTCACTTTCCATACAGCATTTCACATACACTTTGTCTCATGACATTGGCCACAATTTCCCACAATGCAACAGCTCCCCTCCCACTTCCTCCTGATAGTCACCTCTTCCCTGTGTCCATCCCTCCATGCACCCCTGCCCCCTGAGCTGTCTCCTTGTGAACAGCGGTGAATTTTAAGAAGAAATAGAAGCAGGTTCCGAATGGTGCATGTGCTGTGCAGATGCTAAGCCAGTGTTGACGATCGTTCACCCTGCCCAAGTGCACCAGCTTGGATGGTGCCTGGGCTCCCGCTGGGCATTTCTGGGCCTGCCTGACAAGTGGCCTCTCTCCCTGTGCCACGCTGTGGCTCTCCTGGTTGAGCAGGCCTCGTCCTCTGGTCTGGGACTGGTGTCCTGCTGGCATGTCTGTCTGTTGTTCTGAAACTCCGTGAAGGCGGGCATCCAGCCTGGTCGGTGACTTCTCGGTGCTTTGATTTCGGGCCTTCACATCCCAGAGAGTAAAACGAGTGTGAATATTTCTCTTTTGTAGGCAGGGAGGCCCACGAGGAGATCAACATCACCTTTACACTGCCTGCGGCCTGGAGCTCTGACGACTGTGTGCTTCATGGGCACTGTGAGCAGGTGGTGTTCACGGCCTGCATGACACTCACCGCTGCCCTCGGTGTGTTTCCTGTCACTGTGTAAGTGGAGCCCGAGCCCTGTGGCTGTGAGTGTGAAGCGCAGTGTCCCGCGAGTGTGAGTGGGCTGCTCCCACGGGAGTCCTCAGGGCTGGCATTGCTGGACTCTGTACAGTAACTGCTGTTGAGGTCTGTCTGACAGATGATGCTGTTTCATTTAGAGTTACAAAGGCAGAACTTGTGCATGTGAAAGTCAGGTTAGTGCTTCATCCAGGTAGTGGAGCGTGGTACTGGATGTTTTCAGGCTACTTTCCCGTGAGAGGAGAAGCAGCACGTCACAGTCACGTACCTTTGAGCCAATTCTGGGCTGATGGACGGAGATGAGCAGAAAGAGTGCTAAGTAAGGCACCTTCCTTATCCATAGTGAGGGCTGTACGTGCAGTCGTTTTCCAGGAGTTCAGCCACTGCTTTTCTGACATGTTCAGTTTCCTTGAGGGGCAATCAGTGTTACTGCTCTGCCTTTAAGTTTTCTTACTGGCCTCTCTTTTCTCTGTAAAGAAGTAATGATCCATGAATAAATAAGAAACCAAACTCGGTAGCCACAGGGTTGATCCCCACTCACAGCGTCCCTAGAGGACAGAGTGGAACTGCTTCGTAGGGTTTCTAAAGCTGTCATTGTTACAGAAGCACACTGCCTCATCTTTGTACTACAGAGCGGCAAGTGGGTTCGAACCACCACCAACCTTTCACTTAGCAGCTGAGTGCTTAACTGCTAAGCCGGCAGGGCCCCTGGATCTATAAATAAATACGTGAAACGCACAAGATGCAGCTTATTTAAAAGAATCCTATAGTGAATCCTTTTTGAATAAGAACAGTTATCCCAGGATTGATCTGTTTTGGACATTTCGAGGGTTGCAGGGCAAGATCAGATGAGTCTTAAGGTGCTGAATTAATAGCCAATGGGGAGTCTATGTGTAAAACCTTCAGCTGTGACCAAAAATTTAGATAATTTGAGAAAACAGACTTAAAAGGAGCAAAGCCCTCTTTCTCTGTAAAAACACATTGAATTCTGAAGTCCAGAATTTAATACCCAAGCACCTTAATGTCAGGTATCTATTTCTTTTCAGTATTGAAGGAATATTGAATATACTATGGACTTCAGAAGAACAAGCTAATCTGTCTTGGCGAAGTACAGCCAGGATGCTTCTTAGAAGGGGGGATGGTGAGACTTTGTTTCTCAAACTTTGGACACGGTGTCAGGAGGGACCAGTTCCAGAGAAGGGCGTCATGCTTTGTAAAGTAGAGGATTAATGAAAATAGGGAAGACCCTCAGTGAGATGGATGGACACAGTGACTGCAACAGCTCCTCGAAGCATAGCGACAACTGTGAGGACGGTGCGGACCGGGCGGCGTGCCCATATGTTGGACACGAGGTCACTCTGAGTTGAAACCGACTCGGCAGCACCTGACAACAACGAGGACAAATTTGTTTTTCTGTTATTTTATTTTATTATTTTTTTTAAAGCCTCTGTGTTAGACTGGGTTGTCTAGAGAAACAACCAGTAAAGCTTATATTTAGAGAGAGAGGGAAATTTATCTTAGGAAAATGGCTCACACACTTAGAGAAGCTGGCAAGTCCCAAGTTCTTGGATCAAACGTCAGGGTGGAGGCTTTTCCTGAGTCTTGCAGCTGCAGGGGCTGAGGAGCTCAAGGTTGGCAGGCAGTACACCCGCTGTTGAATCCAACGAATGACGAGTCCAAGATCTCCGGGCCGAATGGTGGATCGTTTGTTCAGGGACAGTTGTAGGCAGCACAACAGAATCCCGATCCACAGAGGAGTGTCTCTTATCCCAGGATGTCCATAAATATACTGGAAGCAGGCCACACCCCTAGGGAAACTCCCTTTCAACAGATTGGCTGCTCAAAACATATACATCTGATCCCATCATTTGAACAACCCACATCACAATTGCTAAACCACACAGAATTGTGGTCCAGTCAAGTTGACACACAGCTCCAACTATCACAGCCTCAAACTAAAAATATAACGTCTATCACAAGAGAAACATGTTTGTGTCTTATTTAATGCCTCTTTTCCACATGGTGGTGTAGTGGTTAAGGCATTTTGTCTGTTAACCAAAAGGTCGGTGGTTTGAACCCACCAGCTGCTCCATGGAGGTAAGATGAGACGGTCTGCGTCTGTAATCCCATGGGGGTCGCTCTGAGTCGGATTGACTTGATGGCAGTCAGTCCCCCCCCCCCCCGGTTTTCCACATGTGTTGCTATGCTCAGCATAGTGCCAGGTGCCAGGCAGGTAGGGGCTGGGGAGTCAGTGTCTCTGGCCACTGAGCACCTGTGTCTGCCTCTCCCCCTGCAGACAGCCACCGCACTGTGTCCCCGACACGTACAGCAATGCCACGCTCTGGTACAAGATCTTCACAACGGCCAGAGATGCCAACACCAAGTACGCTCAGGACTACAACCCTTTCTGGTGTTACAAGGGAGCCATCGGCAAAGTCTATCATGCATTGAATCCCAAGCTCACAGTTATTGTTCCAGACGTAAGTGAGAAAAACCGTGTGTGTGTGCGCCTGCATCCGGGTGAGCACGTGGCGGAACGCCTAGAGCTGGCCCTGTTGAACTCCTTGTGTTGGCTTACCCCATCTAGATTGCCAGTGGAGATAGGAGACGAGGTGGAGTGGTGGAGACTTGGAAAAACCTACCACACTTTTGATTAAGAAAATGGGTCCCCTTCTTCCTTTCCTGCTTTACTGAGCTGCTGCTGTGTCCCTTACTCACAGGGGTTACAAGAGATGTTTGTGTGGTCCTCAAGGAGCTAGTATTGCCTCTCACAGACAGACATTCACAGCAGACTATGGGCTTAGTGTCCACGGGAGCACTAAAGAGTGCTGCTGGGAGTTTAGAAAAAACCTAAAGAGGCTTAAAGAGACGAAGCCTTGGTTAGATGGTGAGGATTTGGCGAAGAGGAAGGGGGAGGAAGACACCGTAATCTAGTCTCGCAGGTAGTATGGAAGCTGAGCTCTTAAGAGGCTGTGCCATACTCCCTCCAGGCAGACCTCAGACTGTAGGTGTGGTTCCAGACCACCGCCGTGGAGTGAGTCGCACGCACCTCTTCTCTGTGTGTTCTCAGTGTGTGTGAAAGCTATGCTCGCACTGCGCTCTGGTCTATTAAGTGTGCAATTGCATGATGAAAACGTGAGAAGGAGCAAAATGGGACCCAGAGACACGAAGTGAACACATGTTGCTGGAAAAATGGCGCCAAGAGGCTTGCTTGACGTGGGTGGCCCCGGGCCTCCTGTTTGTAGCCCGGTGTCTGCCATGCACAGTAAAACAAAGTGCGTAAAGTGAGGTGTGCCTGTAAGTGCCTTGCCTTTCTTTTTCATGGCAGTTTTAGGGTGGATTTCTCTTTGGCCTTTTCCTTTTTCCTCTATCTCTTTTTTATCAGGTTGTGGAAGTTGCTAGGCCAGGGGCCTGCTGGAGTGAGCAGTGGAGACCAGACTGATGGTGGGTGGAGGTTGATGGGTGCCTAGCTGAGTGAGTGAGACTCTCCTCGGGTGAGCAGGTCACCACCCACATTTGGCCTCCCTGGGCTTGTGAAGTGTGTGTTAAGGCTGGTGGGCCCACATGTGTCTGTTGGAGGAGCCATGCAGGGCCGGTCAGGCGACATTTCTCATTCCTTGGGCCTGATGTGCAGACTGGCATTCTGAGGAGGAAGGGAACGGATACACGTCAGGGATCGCGGGCACCTGACGGTGCCTGGAGTCAGCTGTATGTGGGAGTTCAGAGAGGGGTGACTCATGGACTTGTGGAAGCTGGAGAGGCAGGAGGAGGGTGCTGGCTCCTGACGGGTGATGTTCTGGTGGGGGAGGCAGGAACGCAGGCGGGACGGTTGGCCATGCACCCGGGTGCAGGCAGAGGGAGGGGCTGTATTCAGAGGAGCAGGGTGACAGACGGATGCTGGGCCTGCGGGGGGTGTATGTGTCGGGCAGCGTGGAGGACCACGGCCAGAGCAGAGGACAGTGTTAGGAAGGCGTTAGGAACACGGTAGCTTCACACCGTGACATCTAGCTGGGACAGGTTAGGAGCCAGAAGGAGCAGCCTCCCATCCCAGCCCCACACTCAGCGAGGCAGCCGCCTGCGGGCTGTGGGCCTGGCTCAGGAGCCTTCCGTCAGTTCAGCGCATACGTGTGTGTTCTCTCCCCTCTGTTCAGGACGATCGCTCATTAATAAACCTGCACCTCATGCATACCAGCTACTTCCTCTTCGTGATGGTGATAACCATGTTCTGCTACGCCGTCATCAGAGGCAGACCTAGCAAACTGCGCCCGAGCAACCCTGAGTTCTGTCCCGAGAAGGTGATTGGCGGAGGGCGGCCGCGTCTGACTGCCTAGAGGCTTTCTTCCCTTTTCATTATTTTTTTATTATTGTTTTGTTGTTGTTGAGAATATACACAGCAACATGGACGCTAGGTCCTCCATTTCAGTGACAGTGACGCCATGCTTTGAGGTGTGCTACATTCGCACCCTCCTTTTCCAAGTCAGTGTGGCTGTAGTCACTTTGATCCCACGTGGATAGATCTGAAAAGAGCACCACGCTCCAGGCAGGCCTTTGTCACCAGTTAGCTAAAAGATTGTTTGGTTTTAAGACGACTTCAGGGGATATTTTTGGCTTAAGGTTTCATGTTGAGGGGCTGGTGGGGTCTGTGTGTGTCGAGTGGGGCCCACCGAGGGGCCAGAGGGGTCGACTTGCTTGGCCTTCTGTGTGACTGCTTTGCTTGTCCTACTCTCTTCCAGGTGGCTTTGGCTGAAGCCTAATGCCTGGCTCCTGTTTCTCTGCGAGACCAAGAGAACCATAATCGTTGCCTGCTGGACCCAGCCTGGGCCTGGACGCTCTGTGGACACGCTGTCTTGCAATGTTGGGTTATTGCAGCCAAAGACATTTCAAGTGCCTGTAACTGATTTGTACATATTTATAAAAACTGATTCGACATTGGTCCGATGATGCACGTGCTTTGCACTGGGTGCGGCCAGGACCCACTGGCCTCTCTGGTGGGCTTGGCCTGCGTGTCTACAGAGAGCGCTGGGGAGTGCGTGTGGATCGCCAGGCCTTGGACAGGGTCATGATGGCTTCCCCAAGGTCCCCGAGGCACCCCGCTGTTGGCCGGGCTGAGGTCCGCTGTGGTTCTGCCCACAATGTACAGAATGTCTGAACCAATCTGCACCTTTGATAGGCTGCTGCATCTCCAAAGCCACCAATCCGTTCTGTGGATTTGATGTGTCTGTGGCTTCATGATCTTAGTAACAAGGATAATGCATTCTCCATTTTGCTTGCAAGGAAACATACCTATCTTTCTAAGTTTTTTTTTTTTTTTAAGAAAATAAAATAGTGACATTTTAATACTATTCTAGTTAGGGCAGATGTGTGCTTTTCTCCTGAGTAAAAGTGAAATATGTAAAAGTCACGATCGTGGTGAAGGTCTAAGGTTCATTTTCCACACGGACAGCGAGGAGCCTGCGCTGGTCCAGGTCGCACAGCACGGCCCTGTCTGTGTTCTCCCCTCTGCCGCCCTTCCCGCCGTCACAAGAGCTGAAGCAGCTTCCTCGCTCAGAAGCGCTTGGGCGCATTCAGTACATGGCTCTGTTGGGCAGCACCGACTCGGCTCCGCCCAGCGGCCCCACTGGACAGAGCAGAGCCACCTCAGGGTTTCCTAGGCCGGACCTCCGCGGCGGGCGCAGCACCAGGCCTTCCCCCGCTGGGGACTGGGGCTGCCGACCTTCCTGTTGGCAGCCGAGCGCTAACCGTTGCACCCCTGGGGAGCCTTCAGACGGCTCTGGCGTAGAGAAGAAATTAGGTGTTCAGTTTCTGGAATGCAGAAAACTGTGCAAAAGGGAGACTGAGTCGTCTCACCGTCAGGAAAGCGTTGCTCGTTTTGAACAGGGGGGGGGGGGAGCGGTGGAGCGTTCTCGCGCATGCGCGTACGCTGGCGTTTGGTTTTATACAACTGTCTTAAGAAGGAAAGTGGCGTTTAGTGTGTCGGTAACGTTCTGAAAACACTGCCTGTGAAGTTTTGAAAGGCCAATTCCGATTGGCCGCTCTTCAGGGAAGCCCAAAAGCATTTTTCTTTCCGCTGATGCCGCTACGATCTGGTTCCTCTGTGCTTACTCCATCTGCGTTACAAAGAAGCAAACGAAAATCTGTGCATTTTCTTTGTAGCCTTTTCCTGTTACTTGTACTCTTCCCATTACTCCCCTCCCCAGTTTTCTTTCGTCTAAGCTTTCTGGGAGTTGAGATATGTCAGGGTTTCCCACGTGTTTTAACCACTGGTTGCCTTAATAACTCATTGTCCTTAGGACTTTTGTGTTCTCGCAGGCAACGCGATAGCAGAAGGGCAGTTAAAACTTCAGACGTGACTGTCTGCACGTCTCCCCTTCGCTCTAGGTCTGTGGCCTGTTCTAAATTAGAACCAGTTCCTGCAGTATGAAATACACTGGCCTAGCACATCTCGTCCCAGGCCTTGAATGGAGAGCATATGTAGGCTTTTCTGGAAGATTGTTCAAACAGTCACCGTAGTGACCGGCTGTGTTGATGCCTTGTTCTTTTTAGTGCATTGCAGGCTCAGTAGTAGTTGTATTTGCTTAGGTGGTGTTTTGCACAAGTCGCTCACACCGTGCATGAGTAACTTGCTAATTTTGTTTGCTCGGGAGACTTTGAGACTCTTAGGAGACAAGATTGAGAGCCATTTGGATTGGCTTCTGGCAGCACGCATATCACTAAGACCATCCACTTTCAGATGAATCAGCTGCTGGGCTGGTAAAAGACCCCAGTGAAGTGGAATCTGGGACTAGATTTATAACTCGCAGAGTGACCTGGGAGGAGAAAGGTGAGAAAAGTCAATTTCCCTGGTTTGTGCGTTCCAGCCTGTTGCCAATATTAACGAGCCTTGATTTAATTACAGGGAATGGCTGGAATCTGTGGCCAGGGGGAGGACGAACACTGTTAGGCATAAGGAAAGGAAGTGCCAAATGCCTGGGCGGTATGACTGATCGTGAGGCTAGGACACACGCTTTAAGGCCACGCTCACCCTAGCAGGTAATTCTCAAAGGTGGTGGAGAAACTTCCTGGGTGTGCCAGGAAGGGTGGGTGGGGCGGAGCCTTGGGACCCCTGTGAAGACAGTCCCTGGGTCTCGGGACCTCCAGGCACTGTTTGCATCTGGACGTGAAGGACATGGCCCAGCCCTTAGCTGGGTCTTGCCGGTGGACCTCAGGATTCTGTGGCGGACGGGGCCGTCTGCCATTCAAGGGTGGCCACACACAGGAGCACTGGCTCGTCCTCGGGCATCTTGTACTGGGAGGTTCCATAAAAGGTCAGCAACTTCCTGTTAAAGTGGTGGTTTCAGATCATATTGATCTCTTTCCTTTTTCCCTCTTGCCTTTCACTGTATGACTTGAATCAGTTTTGATTCTGTGTGTAAGTCGTCGTCGTCAGGAACCTGCCATTTCTGTTGTGTTTCCTGTGGCGGTCTGTAGGGATTCCAGGCATCCTGGGTTTTCAGCCCTCCTGCAGGCACTGAGGGCCAGCAGATCCATCTCACTCACCCTGTTGCATGATGGTCAGTAGCTGATGTATTAAGGCCTTCCTTCCCAGGTTAATTTTCCGTGTTTGAAATATGTGCTATGTGCTTTACAGAATAAAACATCAGAATTTATTTGGCGTGTCTCTGTTTCCTTCAGCCGGATGGGTGTTTTCTAAGGCAAGGTACTCAGAATGAGGAGGCGAGGGCTTTCTGCATGCTGCCGTCTGGAAGTGTCAGTTGTCGTCAGGATGAGGAGTGGGCAGTGTTCAGTGCCCTCTCTGAGCACTTGTCTTCTTCGTGAGAGTGCAAACCCTCGTGTAGTGGACTAGACCAAGTGCTTACAGACCTGACCCTGACCCTGCTCTGGACAAGTAAGTCATACACAGCAGTAGGGAGCATTTGAATAAGTGTGAAACTTTTTCTTTTTTTTTAAATTTTATTGTGATTTGATCAAAGTTTACAGAGCAAATTCATCTTCCATACAGCAGTTCACATATACTTTGTCTCATGACATTGACTGCAGTTTCCCACAATGCAACAGTTCCCCTCCATATTCTCCGTGTAGTTACCTCTTCCCTGTGTCCTTCCCTCCATGCACTCCTGCCCCTGGAGCTGTCTCCCTGTGCATACACAGCCCTTCTACTCTCCCATGATTCATCTCTACAAGGAGTGTATCTACCAAATGTAAATGTTCAGCTCATACACTTGTCTTGTTTGGCTGGAAGCCACAGGTGTGGGTTCAGTTCCAGACCTGAAGGGCAGCTAGGGGCCATAGTCTCAGGGGTTCCACCAGGCTCTATCAGACCAGCAAACCTGGTCCTTTTTTTTTTTCAAATGATTTTGAGTTTTGTTCCACATTGTTCTCCCACTCTGTCCAGGATCTCCTACATAGATCCCCCTCCAAGTGGTTGACAGTGATAGCCAGGACCCTCTCTGATCTCATAGTAATGTAGACTGAGGATCACATGGTGTATCGATCCCTTGGACCAACTGTTTCCATGTTTCTTTGTTTTCCTTCATTCTTCCTTGCTCTGGATGAGGAGAGACCCATCATTGCATCTACATGGCCGCTTGCAAGCTTTTAAGATGCTAGTCGCTGCTCGCCAGAGTAGGAGGTGAAACAATGTTTTTTTGTGTAGTATATTACACCAACTGAGCTTGGTGTCGCCTGTGACCATGGTCCTGAGGCCACAGGTCCAAGTACTTGTTCCCTCTGGGTAGCCAACTGTGGCCAAGAAGTGACTACAACCTTGTCCTTTGTCAGCTCTACTATACACCTGGGAATTCTTAGAGAACATACAAACACACTTGTAGAAACATTGTCTGCCAACCAACATGGTCTTGGGCACACTTTCCCCTGCCTAGACATACCTAATAGTTCAGCCTGCCCACTCATCTAACCACCCGTATATCCATGTTTGCCTTCACTGACAACACCATACTGTATGTGCAAAAGGGTTCATCTTTGTTGTCTGTACCTCCCATGTACCTCTCTTCTGTCTTCCTCTTCCTCAGTGCCACCATGTTGATCACTCACATTTGGTACATTGCCCTTCTCTTCACCCAAATCAATACTTGTCTCTACCTACTAACAGTGTTCCCTCCCCTCTCCTCCCACCCCTGGTAACCAGCAAAGAAAATTTCCTTCCATATATGAACCTTTCCTTGACTTTTTACAATAACGGACTAATACAATATTTTTCCTTCTGTGATTGACTCAGCATAATGTCCTCCAAGTTCATCCACGTTATGCAGTGTTTTGCAGATTCTACATTATTCTTTAGGGTTGCATAGTATTCCATTGTGTGTATGTACTATAGTTTTGTTATCCATTCCTCAGCTGATGGACACCTAGGTTGTTTCCATCTTTTGGCTATTGTAAATAGTGCTGTGATGAACATGGGTGTGCATATGTCTGCTCTTGTCATGGCTCTCACTTCTTTAGGATATATACCTACTATAGGAATGGCTGGGTCAAATGGTATTTCTAATTCCAACTTTTTAGGGAATTGCCATACTGCTTTCCATAGTGGTTGTACCATTTTACAGTCCCACCAGCAGTGTATGAGAGTCCAATCTCTCTGCATCCTTGCCAGCATTTGTTATTTTCTGTCTTATTGAACTTTGCTGCTAGTGCTGGGGCAAGATCAATCCTGCTTCTTTTGAATCTCAAAAGTGATCAGTTTAAGACATACCCTATGAGGATACGGGTTTGTGAACATCACAAAAGAAACCCTGTT